TAGTTCTAACCATACATGGGAAAGTGGGGCGCCATGTGAGATTCATCTGATATGAAACTAGCCATCTTGTTTCCAACCATTGATAGTTTTATTGGATAACTAAACAAATGATTCAGTGGGGGAAAATCTCCAAATCTTTCCCTCCCTGTCGGGAATTGATCCCAAATCTGGAAAATTCCTCGATTTTGATATTATTAAACTTCTTGCAGCCCATTATAGGCTGAATCTTGAAGACATACAAATGAGCATTCAGATGCGACATTTGGAGCAGTCGAGGAGTTTGCAGTTTATGGCTTTTACTGAACTTTACAAGGTAATAAAGATAGCAATAACTATCCCAGTTAGCACAGCCGGCTGTGAAAGGAGATTTATCAAGCTAAAACTGATCAAAAATCACCTTAGAACCAATACGACAGATAAGAGACTGAAGTGTCTAACAGTAATTAGCGTGCGCAGAGAACGTGCTCTTTCCATTGATCTTGATGGTATTGTTGACAGCTTCGTTGTCAAGTTTCCAAATACAAGGTTAATGTTGGTTTAAAATCGAAGAGGACGGTCGTTCCGATTGGTGTCTTGAAACTTCATTCTTCTGACCATTATTCATCAATCCACTTTTAAAGGAACTTGTTATCCCCCCCCCCCAAAAAGGGTAGATATGCTAGAAGGTTCAAAAACGTATGATCCATTCCAAGGTCTGTGAGTACTTTGGGGTTTCAAAACTCACTACAAAGTATTTTTTGAAACCCAACGTTGGCTCAATGTAATTTAACACGCTAAAATTTGGGGGGGGGGGGGAATAACGAGTCCATTTAAAATTACACATGAGTATAAAATGTTTTCTTTTGTCACCAAAGTTTTGGTGCTGGCGCCGCCACTGCGCTGAGATAAGATTCGAAGACTGTGAGAGGGGAAGAATATTGTAGTTTGAATTGTTAGCTGGTCATTCACATTACAATCTCTGCAAGTTAAAGGTCTCTGCTTCGAATCTACGACGAGGAACTAATAAATTTGAAATTACAGCAGCATCACGTAATAACTTGAGTATTATATTCATTTAGCTATGCTCTTTACTAGGTATATATATTTTAGTTCTGATTTATCTAGGTAGCTTGCTTTGATCCAAAGTTATCATTTCTCACGAATTATCAACGTGTTAAGAATTATTGAAATCAACAGAGAACTTCTAATTGGGTTGAGGAGGGAATATAGGAAATGCTAAATATTAAGCTGTGGTATAAAGAGGTGAACTGAATATTCGTTTGAGCTAACGGATAGGTCCAGTTAATAGCAAGAGGTTCGTTCAAGAACATAATCCAAAAAACTAAAACATAAAATAAATCATTGGTACTGAAGAAAAACACTTTATCTCAGGCTTTTTAAATAAGAACATAAAACAAACCCTTTAACTGACAAAAAACGTTTTTATACTCAAACAATGCTTATGTACAGAACAGTGCCAGATTTAGACTTGGTGAGGCCCAAAGCTATATAAAGCTTGGAGGCCCTTTGTTAAAAAGTTGCACCAGAAGGTCTCACAAAGGTACGTACCAAAACAGGATCCTGGGTCGCCACAAAAGAATTAAAACATATATATATATATGTCCTTTTAATTATTTAATAGTCAAGGTA